TTAATTCAATACATTAAATGATAAAATATTTTGATTGAATCGCAGTCTGATAAATATAATTATAAATTTGGGTCAAAATCACAAACATTCACAGTATTTCATAATAAAATTATTAAATTATTGCAGTTTTATTCTGGATTCTTTATGAATATTTAAAAATTATCTCTTAATAATAATTAATAAATTAAAATTAATAAACACACTAGCTATTCCATAATAATTAGTATCGTTAATTGATGTACTTCTTATATTATTGTTTATTTAATACTGTGTCAAGAAATAGTTTACTTATAATTTATAAATCTATTGGCTAACTGAAAGCACGTCTGAGATATGGCAATACAACTAGAGTATTGTAAATTTAGTATGACTACATGTAGTAAAACTACCAGAACATCATCAATACTTATTATATTTTAAAATTTAATTGAATTTCTTATTCTTGATATGTACAGTATATATAAAGTATTTTATCAAAAATTTTAATTGAGTATATTTTTAATGCACTGATTATGTTTCAAATCCATAAAACCCAAGATAGGTCATTTTGTTGATATAGACATTTTTAACAGAGCTAACAATTTATACATGTTTTTAAATTTGTTCTAGGCTACATTACGTCTAGTTAATGCTTCAACACTCCGCAACAACTTTGACCTGGACATTTACTAACAATTATTAAATCTTTAGCTTTTTAATGATCAAATGTTAATTTCCAAATGTTCTCAAACACTATTTATAATATATCATTATTTCTTGTGTATCAACATATTGACCGTAAATTAAGTTCACAAAATAACATACTAATAAAAGCATTGTATTTATAATTATAAATAAATAAATATTCACTTACTTTACAAACTTTTTCCAAGAGTTGAGAAATTTTTTGCTTAATGCAAAATATTGATAGGTAGGCAAGAGGTCGTCCCAACCCAATCGGTGTCTCTCAGCCAACAGATTAGGTAAACTAAGCTTCTGTTGAGTTGCCATCTCTTTATGCTGACTCTTAATCACTTCAAACACTTTATTGTCACTCTATTTCCACATTCATTCAAATATATTTGCAATGAGTTTTAGTAAAATGGTTTCAATATATGACACTAACCACACAATCCTCACAAACGGCACAATGTTTAGTGAATTCTCGAGCGTTTGGAAAATGCTTTCTAAGTGTTCGCCAAACAATAGTAGAAATAAGTCTTCGCTTACTTTCATCGGCTGTCAGTTGTCCTGTCGTTATATAAAATGGATGTAAATAAAAATTTATATTCATCTTAATTGTAATGAATAGTAAGTGACTATTAATAGACAAACCGTGAGTGCAAATGATGTCTTCATTGAGACACGAGATTTCAGTGTCGGTGTCATTGTTCTCAATCACTTCAACAGAATCGTCCGAATTGTCTGTCAAATAGATTCATATTAACAAACATACGGCAAAATGTTAATTCAATAGACAAACCGCTTTTATCAAAGCCATTGTATTCGAAGGACTTGAGTTTGATTTGTTTCCAAGACTTAAGAGATTCTTTTCCGACCCAAAA